AAGGATGTATTAAAAGAAAACTACTTAGTGCTCAAAGAACAGCATTACTTAGGCTGACGAAAGCGTTTCGGACAACATCTACCGAAGCGTTACAAATAATAGCAGGTATACCACCCATTGATCTAATTATTAAAGAGAAGGCACTACAGTACATGTGTAGAGCTGGACTCCCTATCTCCATCGAAGGAGTCACCTACGATAACCAGGATATCGAATTAAAACCAAGAGCAATTGAATTACCAAAAACCTACGAAAGAATAGCCATAAAAATGGCCATCAACAATGAAGTAGCAGATGAAGACATCACCGATGGTTCAAAGGTGGAAAACAGAGTAGGGGCATCCTACACAGTGAGAAAAGAAGGAACGGAAATACACTCTGGGCAATACAGGCTGGATGATCGATGCTCGGTCTTCCAAGCCGAATTATATGCCATTTTAATGGCGGTAAAGTGGAGCATTACCAGCAATCATGCTGGATTAAAAATTATACATACAGATAGCAGAGCTGCAATACAAACTCTGCAACAGTACAAGGATAGTAGTGAGATAGCAATGGAAATTAAAAGAATAATTAAAAATAATCAAGCTAACATCAAAATAAGATGGGTCAAAGCCCATGTGGTCATAGAAGGAAATGAGCGTGCGGATACTCTGGCGAAAGAAGCCACAGACAAGCAAGATATTTCCTATGATAAGATCCCATTCTCTTACATCAGATATCTTCTTCGACAAAAGACCCTAGAAGACTGGCAAGATCGATGGAGCTACAGCGACAAAGGTCGACACACTTACTGGATCTTCCCGAATGTGGAGGAAAGAATAAAAGAATTAAAGTGGTTACCAATAAATTACCTTAACACACAGCTACATTCAAATCATTGCAACACTAAAGAATACCTACAAAGAGTAGGAAGAGAACAAGATTCTAACTGTGAATGCGGTGAGGAGGTACAAGACTTAGACCATCTAATGAACAATTGCCCAAAACATGATTGTGAGAGGATGCAATTGCATCTATTGGCAAAAGAAATTCTCAACACAACTAACATAGACCTTTACTTAATGATTCGTCATAAAGAACTACACACACCTCTAATGGACTTTACATGACTGGTTCTTTCGTGAGGGTAGAGAGCGAGCTGCTCCCTCCCTATTGTGGCAAGTAGCCACAAGTCTGTACGGCAAAGTTACCTATGTACATATTGTTAAATTTATATTTGTTGTTTGTTCTAAAAATTGTATAAGTTTTAAGGATAAAGTAATAAAGAAGACATTCCCCTTGTGATGCGGATAGCGGGACAAGGGAGACTGATCCCTGCAAAGGGAAATGATGTTATTCTAATGAAAAAAAAAAAAAAAAATGTTCTCCCAATCCTTTGAAGACCACGTAAGACTCCTAAGGGAGGTAATCTCTATTTTAGACAGAGCTAACTTGAAATTGCACCCAAAGAAATCAAAATTTATGGTGAAGGAGGTGCGGTATCTGGGACACATCATCGATAGTGAAGGGATACGACCCGACCCCAGTAACGTAAACGCAATCAAAGAAGTACAACCACCACATAATGTGAGGGATGTAAGGAGTTTCCTCGGGATGGTAGGATTCTTCCGTAACTTTATCCCCAACTTCGCTGAGATTGCTCTTCCCCTGACGTATCTGACAAAGAAAAATGTGAAATTCCTATGGGACGACCAGTGCCAATCAAGCTTTGATAACTTTAAAGAACTATTATCTAAACTCCCTATCCTATCTCATCCCGATTTTAAGATACCTTTTTTTATGCACTCGGACGCTTCAGAGGTCTGGGCCGGAGCCGTCTTAGAACAGGAAAGGGAAGGAAAATTCATTCCCATTGGCTATTTCAGTAGAAAATTTCGTGGGCCTGAGTTAAAATATTCAACTATTGAGAAAGAATGCTACTCGATAATATTAGCCCTCCGCCACTTCAAACATCTTATTTTGGGCCAAAAGGTGACTGTCCTGTCGGACCACAAACCCTTGACCTTTGTAAAGAACATGAAGAATCACAATAACCGCTTAATGAGATGGGCTATAGAGTTATCAAATTTCGATCTAGTAATTACACACGTTCAAGGGAAGAGTAACCCGGTCGCTGATTTATTGTCTCGACCACACGGTAGTAGAGAAGAAACCGGCCCCCTGGTGACGTAATCAATTGCGTCAGTGAAGAGCTCTGGAAGAAGGTAAAGGAGTCCCAGATTAGAGATAGGAAATTTGGGCCATTGAGAAGTCACTTAATAAGATCCCAACCCTCTTACAATAATTACTCGAGTGATGGCATCTTGCCGGAGTATCAGATAGATGGGGATGTGTTAGTTCACGTACGACCAGGGAGGTTTGGAGTACGTCAATGGAGGCGGGTTTGTGTAGGGGAAGCAGCAATCAATGACGTAATTAAAGCATTCCACAAATCACCATTAGCCGGACACTACGACAAGGACAAAACATGTGCCCTGATCAGCCGTTACTACTACTTCGAGAGGATGAATATCCTTGTCGGTAGATTCGTGAAGTCCTGCAAAATCTGCCAACAACATAACTTACATCAAGGGAGATCTCCCTTTCAAGAGACTGAAGTTGCTACATATCCATTCCAAAAGGTGTCAACGGATATTATTGGCCCGGTACACCCCACACATAAGGGTAATCGCTATATTCTCACCATAATCGACATGTTTACCCGGTACACAGAAGCCATCCCTTTAAGAGACCAATCCGCAGCCTCGGTAGCCAATGCGTTTTTTGAGAAGATAGTTTGTAGATATGGCTGCCCTGAGGTCATAATCTCTGACCGAGGTACCAATTTTACGTCATCCATTTTTAGCGAAATGTGCAACATCCTGACCGTTAAGCACCATGTTACTACATCATCCGCCCTTGTTCGAACTCGGTTTGTGAACGCGTGAACAAATCCATCAATAACCTCCTGGCCAGAATATCTGGCGGTAGTAACAACAATTGGGATTCCTTTTTACAGTCTGCTGTGTTTGCATATAATAATGCCACACACTCCTCTACTAATGAGTCACCATCATTTCTCCTTTACGGTTTTGATCCCAAGTTCCCTCATGCGTCCCCCTTTGAACAGACAAATGACCACCCAGGCATTCGGGAGTACCGTGACTTCCTGCTATCTAAGCTAAGGTACATCCGTGAATCGGCGTATGAATTAAGTCGCAACCGAAACAAACTTAACCGTAACTGCATCAATACGGGAGGAAAGTGAGGAGCTTTGAGGTAGGGCAAAGGGTTTGGATGTTGAGGAAAGGGAAGAGACAAGGGAAATTTTCTCCCAAATATCTGGGCCCATTTCGTGTATCCCGCCTCCTGGGGCTGGTTAACGCAGAAATCGAAAGTTGTAATCGAAAGGAGAGAAGTATTGTACATATTGATAGGTTAAAGCCATGCTTCACTAACGTCCGTGATTCGCGGCAGAGGTGTGAAGTCCCGATCAGAAACGAGGAGTCACGAGCAAGCGAGACAGGGGACATTGAAGAGGAAGAAGACATTCCTCACCTCACTACAGCGCAACGAGCACACCACATTGGGGATAATCAACGGAATCAGCTGCATCAAGGAAGTAATGATGACTCGGTGAATGAACCGGGAACAGAACAGAGAGTTAGTATCTCACACCCCTATAATTTACGGGAGCGGAAAGTGGACTATCGACGGCTTCACTTTGGAAGATGAATTTGTATTTCTCCACTCAATAATTTTGTGTAGCATCTACATATTAAAGTTTATATTAATTGGTAATATGTATCTTGGTGAGGGCGTATGTGGCTTTGTTAAGCCATATTTCTTCTGTCTTTCCTTTCTCTTCATTACTTGTGACCACGTCTTATGGAAAAACCCCACTTCCGGCCTTTGTTTACTTGACTACAATGTGGTTGGTTAAACCATGTGGTCCGATCTGTGTTAGACAATAGGGGCTGACACTTGATTGGTCGAAGGGGGTGACGGACAAGGTGGAAAAAGGGAGGTCCGAACAGGAAGAGAGTCAGTTCGGGACGAGACCGTGTGGAGAGAGGACACGCTAGTAAGGAAGGAAGTCGTCACGTGGAGGATCTGAGGTTTTTTCTCTTTTGACCAGTCACCCCTTTATGCTCAATTCTTTATGATTTTTCGTTTTCCATCTTTCTCTAAATTTTTGGGCCCTAGTTTTAAAGTAATTAGTTAAGTTAGATTTAAACTAGACTAAGATTTTATTGTCGGTTGAACGTGGGATCCACGTGCTGTGTCAGGACGAGAGTTCAGACCTATTATTGTACAACCTAGTTTTAAGTATCGGTATTTGCCTATTTGGAGTCTGGAAATTTTTGTTAATAAATTATATCAAAGCTGAATTATCCTTTGGGAGTCAATTATTTATCGTTCGGCCACAATGGTAAACTGTAAACTTTTGTATGAAAATAGAAAATGCTATCAAAACTAAAAGCTATATATAATTAAATTTTTAAATAATTAAAAATTTTATATGCTATATAAATAATAAATATATAACTACAGTAAAGTGTTGAAAATCTGGAGTAATTGGAGCAAGACATCCATTCAGATTTTCAATTTGTCTAATTTTCAACTATATGTATAAATTAACATTTTAAGTATTGTAAACTCCAAATACACAGTCATTTTAAGTATTGTAAACTCCAAATACACAGTAATTAAAATTTTAGTGTTCTAAGTTTAAGCCAATATTTCACAAGGAATTTAGGAATACTTACAAAGATTCAAAATATAATTTACAGAATCATTTTTAAGCAAAAAATACACTAATAATAATTTCAAAATTAAAAAATTCTAAATTCTGAATGAATGTTAGAACATCAACAATTCAACAATACAAGGCCAAAATAATGAAGGCTAAAAGAACGTTAACAATGAAGTTACTATTGAAAGAATTTATATTCCTTTTTCGATGGCCAAATCCAGATTTTGACACTTTACTGTATTAACTCTTTGTTTTAACTTACCAAATGCCATGTTCCTAAAATTATTGTTCCAGTGCGAACATGACAGCAAAAACAGCAACGAAACTTCTCTCGTGGAATAGTTTTATCAGATGAATTCATCTCTAAAATTGAAAGTTTAAAAATAATTTCAAATATTTATTTTAAAAAATCTTATTCATTAAAATTTTCAAATATATAAAAACAGATATAACAAAATATTTTAATTTAATTCTGTAAAAAAAAAAAAAATATAAGTTTATCTACATTGCTAAAGGTTATATGTTTAACAAAAAAGTAACTTTACAAGTAACTGCAATACTATTGAGTATAACACCAATACATGGTAGGTAGTAATGATTTGAGTCTGAATTTAGATATTACAAAAACCTATGTATGTAAAACCTAAACCCGTGATGTATGTACTATACAGTACATACATCACGGGTTAAATATACATCAATGGCCTAAATATGTAATGAAAATCCTAGAATATGTAGAAAAAAAGCACAATATATGATATGTTTTAAAAAAGAATGGAGTTTTTTCATTTGTAGTCAGCAATGATTTGTATATTTGAAGTATGGTTGTCACGTCCCATATTTTACTTATCATGTTGATATTCCACAGTATACATAATTGCATCCAAAAACTTCAAAAATTGTTTGTTTTGTTCCTTATTGTTAAGAAGGTTCTCATGAGAAAATTCTTGACTATTACACTTTCCTACAAATAAATCTTTGCATTTCTATTGGGTTAAGTTTTGTATTTAAATATTTATACAGTAATACCCCAAACTTACGCGATAGGTGGGACCGAGCAATAACCGCGTAAGTCGAATTCGCGTAAGTCGGGGTATAATTTTACAATTTGTGTAAAATCCAAGTCGGATGTATGTAAGCTAATAAATGTTCTCATTAATCTTATCTCATCTTTTGATTCGTTCACGGTTACAAGAAATCACCACATAGAGTCTCTAAAGCCTCCGTAGATATACCAAACACATAAATAAATAACACAAAATAAATCGTAGCTATGTGTGGATTCCGCGCAACACGTCTGAACATGTAAACTGAACAATAGTTGGGGGAGTGAGTAATCAAGAGTTGCGTGGTGCTCAAACAAAAAACGAATTGACGAGATTTGAAAATCACGTAACTCTGGGTTTGCATAAGTCAGGGTAGCGTGAGTTGAGGTATTACTGTATATGAAAGTTTTCATATATGAAAAAGTTTGTATCCCTAATTGACTGACTTGATTGACATTTGTCAAAATAATTTGAAGTTCTGATGGCAAGTCTGATTTTACCTAGGAACTGCAGTTCCACTGTGCTGCTTTAATTGGAATAATTGCATGCTTGGTATCCATGATACAGTTAATTTATTAGTAAACAACTACTGGAATATATTCATTAAAGAAAAAAGGGGAAAAGAATTGAAAGAGAAAGAGGTAATTTATATTAATAATAATGAAAAAACAAAGAAAAGAATTGCATGGTTAGATAAAGAAAGATTAAATTTTATTTGAAGATTGAAAGAGAAAAAGCCTATTCATAAGGGATTTAATTAAAACTTATTTTTAAAAACTGAATTTACTTAGATACTGTACATTGTACTGTCTTTTTAGATTATATTATTTAAAGATTTTATTTTTTCAAAGAGTTATAAGGGACTACAAAAAATAGACATAATTAATGAATAACTAGAGTTGTTAGATGTTATTTTAAATAACTGCATACACGTCCTGGTACCTATATGTGAACTAATTTTAATAATGTCTTTAATGACTATATAATTATTTTAAGATTGTATAATTTGAATTTTATCTAATTGATTTTAAAGAAAAGGGTAAAATTCTGGTGCAAAACTACTAAAAACTTTGGGCAAAAGAAATAATAATATATAGAAAAGAAAGAAAAAAAAAATCATGCTACAAACACACTAATTCTAGAAAGTTTTCATGTATTTTACATTTTTAGTGAAAATTTACTGAATTAACATTTAAACAAAATACATAGAGGATTTTAATAAAAAAAATATACAAGCCAAAAAATCATCAGTTTATTAGTTTTATCAATAAATTATTATTTAATTTTAAGCTGCCATTGATACATAAATTGAGTTATATAACAGCGAGTATATTTGATGTAAATTGTGTATCTTTTGGCATGGTTGGCAGCAAATTTTTCCATCTGGGAATTCTTTTGTTCATAATCACAACGTACACAAAAAGAAATCTTTTGGCATTATATTTAAACTGGCTGTGTACCAAATAAAACTATCTGGACTGTGTATTATATAAGATGTATGACAGCTGCTATGTTTAAATTTATTAAATATAAAAAATTTCAAATAAACCTAGGCCTGAGTAAATAAATGGATGCACAATAATTCATTGAACTTACAAATTAAAATGTGAAGGGATACATAAGGGAATAAAATAAATTAGAGGCTAACATTTTAAATCTGTCAGACAATTAATAACTATCAGTCACTCTAAAGTAGTTGACAATGAAATAATGAAAAATATGGAGAAATACGTAGTAACTGCTAAAATATGGAAAAATACAGTGTCCCCAGAGTGACATCAACACATTTTAAATTGCTGCCAAAATAATAGATAAATGAATTTATGTTGTATGAGGAAGAGCAATTCCTAGAATTAAATGAAGCATATGAAGTAATTAGCTGTGGTGCTTCATGACCCTCACAATTCCCTATTACTCTCCTAGACTTCTCTTTTCGTTATATGTGAAGGACAGGATTTATGCTGGCACTAAAATCAATGATTTCAGTGAACATTATGTTCATACAGAATGCTTCTATTACATTACAGATGTTGCAAAACAAATGACAGGAAATTGAAAATTGTTTATTCTCCATACAACAGGAGGAGCATATGTGGAGATTTTATAATTTTGTGTATGTGAAAATTCTTAACATACAGGCGTTAAAATACAAATAAATGTCGCTATATTAACAAGCGCTCTGGACGAGAATTGATTTCATTCCAAAGCATTAATACCGTTGGAATAATTTAATATTCATATTCGAAAAAGATATTAGCCATCTTCATCAACCTGAAGATGATGAAAATAATTCTCGTTGAAAGCGCTTGTTAATATAGTGACATTTATTTTTATTTTAACGCCTATATGTTAAGAATTTTCACATATTAAATGATCAGCGTGCTGTCCAATTCTAAATTACAGTTAATTTTGTGTAAAAAGGAGTAAAGGTAGAACTATCAATTTTTGCAATAAAACTAGATGAATTTATCTTCAAATTGCATTCCTTACTTTTATTGTATTTCTTGAACTTCTTACCTAATTTTATTTATAACTTTTCAAAATGTGTCGGTCTCAATGCACACACCTATATTTTACATAAAATTAACATAATTTGCTTCAGAAATCAATGCATTAGTCAAATATCAAAGTTTGTCTTTACTACATATCATCAAGAAAAACATGCTGTAACATGTAAATCCAGGCTGTAGTAATGAGCCTGACTGGCAACATCAAATAATTAGAATAACACAGTTATTCTAATTATTATTCACAGTTATTTCAGAACAGTTATGACATAGCATTTCTAAATGTTTCTAAATGACTAAAAAATAATGTTGTCTTGTAAAGAAGTTTAAGCAGTTATTTGACTTTTATTAGTTAAAAAATAGGTCTATTGTGAGCTCATTGAAATGTAGGAGGACAATCTACTCCATGACAATACCAGATGTCCTAAAGCTCACCAGAAATTGCTATAGATATTTTGCATCATTCCCCATACATCCCAGGTCTGACCCCTTCTAACTTTCATGTTTTCCCATGTTCAAAAAGAACATATGTTTACTGTTTACTGAAGTAATTAATATACTTTAAACAATGGTTACAGTTAGAGACATGCTATCATTTTGGACCCAGTTAATCGTTAGACAAGTAAAATGTTAGCTGGATGACTGCAACAACACAGAGAGAAAGTTTTTGAGAATGGAATGAACAAACTTGTGGAATAAATTAAATTCTTTTAATGGTGATTCATACTTAAAATTTAATTCATTCCAGGAAGTGTTTGAACACCACATTGTTGGAAGTCCGAATCAATTTTTCCCATTAGAAATGAGGGAAAGTGAATTAATCTATTCCCAGATTCTAAACAATATCTATTTCAATAAACTTAAAACATACCTTTCTCTACTAATAAAAACTGGATACATATAAACTGTTAAATGAGAAGCCAGTTTGATATACAGGTGTAATCCCACCACAGTTTACAAACTACTTTGCAATGGAAAAGATGAGGTCAACAAAGAGAAGTTATGAGGCATACAAAGTTTTTGTAAGGAATGACAGATTCAATAAAGATCTTGAATACATGGGATCTACTAAACAATGTGCAATATGTCATAGTATATATTAATTTAATCATAGTTTTAGAATATTTTCCTTTGTTCTTTGTTCCTTCTTGCTTCTAGAACTTTATTTTCTAACTCTTTTCCCTTGGGTGGTGAGGACCAATTTGTGGTGTGGCTGCATGCCTGTGTTTTTATTATTATTATTATTATTATTGTTTATTATTATTCAGCTGTATAGTTTTAGTTTAATTTAATTTCTAGAATTTTCCTTCCTTCCGATTTCTTTGTTCCTTTGTCTCAGACTTCGGAGAACTCGCCGCACACCTAACCCATCAGGGGGTAGCATTAGAACAAAAGGGAAAAACAAGGCTGGAGGGGAAAAGGAAGGGTTTCGAGAGGCATTCTTAAGCTGGACTTGGTGAGAGAGAGACGAGTGGCAGCAGGCTCTGGCACAAGAATTCAAAGAGCGTTTTCAGAAGGAGGCCGCAAGAAGCGGATCGACAGAAAAGTCCAGCCAACTATCATAGAAAAAAACAAATCTCCACAACGGACCGGAATTGTTCTAAAAGGAGAACAAACGAGAAAGAAGCCGAGACGAGGAACAGTGAAGAACCGACAGGAAATTTGGGTACCCTTCTGTCCTTTAATTCTTCTTATTTCCCTTCTACCTTTCCTATCTTAGTGTAAGTTAGTTTAAGTATACGCGCACAAATAAATTTGTCGGGAAATAGTGTCGCGAAAGTAACTACCAACCTATTGGTATACCTAACCA